TATATATATATACGCGAGGTCAGTGATTAAAATGGTTGTGTGCAGCTCCAGTAGAAGATATCATGTACCAAAATGTATTATTTCAAGTAACTGACTGAAAATACTCTTCACTTTTCAAAAGATGTTTAAAACATCCCTGTAAACGTTTGCTCATTATGTTAAATAAATTCATACTACACCCTGGGGGAAGTAAATGGTTTTGGTCTATCTAACCCGAATTAGGCTTAGTCTTTGTTAGAAACAAGAAACAACGGTTTTCTTTTCGTGGAGGGTGGAAAACTGCACTACAGTTGTTTCATCAATATCGAATCCGTAATCACTTGTTCCACACCTCAGATAACTAATTAAAGAGTGCGACCTCCCACCCCGTACTAAAAAGTTTACATATGAACTGTAGTTAATTCTAAAAGTCCGAGGTCATACCAGAAGATACCGACTGTCATTGTATGGGAGTTCATGTTTGTATCTAGGCCTATCGATATTTATTCTGTGTACAAGAAACGGAACAATATTTATTACTGTTCTAATGAACTATGTTGATAAATAACTGTAGTACTGAAAATATTCGGCGATCAGCCTTCGTTATCTCAATCATGACCGGAAAACTGGCCATCTGCACATCGAGAAGGTCAAGAAAGTCACAGAAGTAACGATTAGTTTATTGAAGGAACTAAAACGATAGAAACAATATCAACTGGAAAAGAACATTGCACTTGTAAACAGTATAGCTACTGTGTTCTCATTACCGCGGTCTTAAATAGGTCTCAGTCAATTTGACTGAACCAAAATGTTAGTCTCGTACTGACCACCATGAAGCTAAAACTTCTATAGTTCCTTTGCTGGCGTTATCTCTCAGCTTTCGATAATCGCAATAATACCCCTAAATTCACCCATTGAGCTCAATAGAACCACGTTGCTTTCTTACTTACGAATAGCTCCACCGTCTCCTTGCAAGGGGCCACGTATCGCTATTTGCGGGAGGGAGGGGAGGGGTTAAAGCTAATCTTCATTTACAAATACATTTCACACTATCATTTGATTCATAAAGCCGGGAACACACTGCTGAGCAGGGGTTTCAGCTGCGGTTCAGTTGCACTTTTAACCGATGAAAATGTTTGAGTTTTCGGCGGAAATGGAAGCAATTCAAACGTCTTATTCCGACAAGGCCAAGCAGGCTATCGTCTTCTGTTCAAACCAGATCAAATCAGTGTTGAACAAGTGGGTGCAGTGGGTTGTGGGAATCGCGCCTCGCTCATCAGGGGAAAATGTGTTTGTCTTCAAACTAGCACAGCTATTCATCTATGCTACGCTTGCTGTCTCGTGTTTCATTCCCCATATTTAAATTTGTCCATGGGGTAGCGATCATGAAGTCGAATTGTCCCAACTGTGTGCAATTTGAACGTTCCACGTTTAATTTTGATTCCAAATGGTCCCAGCCGTAAAGATGTAGGAGGCTGAAAATCCAGTCAATATGGGTGCATACATCTTTTATTGACTGGAGTTGATTTGAAAGGCCACCCCACCAACACAGCCATCGTTATCTGAAGATGTAATTTAAACCCGAATCGAGGAGATTTCTTTTTTAAAAAGACGTTTATTAATGCACACCTACGAAGTCTTCAATCAGATCGCACCTATCCTCTGGTGGCTGCCTGAATCAATGCGGATTTGAACCCCGCTTTTATGAGTGTCGTTCAGTATGTGCGGATACACAGACGCCCAAGCTTTTTTTGACCAGATACATGCCCATGAGGATGTCCACTTCGGATTTCATGCTAAGTTTGATCATCTTCGATCAAAGACAAAACATATTCCAGTAAATGTTTTCGAAACGAACATTTGAAAAACCAAATCACATCCTGATCCACTGGTTGTAAATTTGAGGAGTCACCCGTACCGATTTGAATACTGCGGCTTTGTTATGGCAAGGGGCGTTATCTAGAAATACCAAGATGGGACGTATTTGAAAAACCACCTTGCGATTGACATCCAACAGCTAACTGTAAAATAACGGAGAAGTCACTTATGGGTTCCTTGAAGAATTATAACTGAAGGGAAGGCTTTTCCTATTTATATCTCGAAGATATCCTGGAGTTTGAAATTTTTCAATAACCAAAGGTGTTAACCTTTCTCCAGTGATGCTCCCACAAAGTTGTAACATGATTCTTTCTTTGGATTTCTTGGATCCGTAAACTATTTTTTCCTTTGAGACTCAATCTTCTTTCTGGGAGCTGCTTGTAATACAAGGCTGGGTCATCTGCATCGAGAATATCTCAGCCAGCTTATCCATGGATCATCTGCAGTAACCCCCCTCGAAACTCGTCCGCTGCATCAGGTGGTACAGTCAACTTTTCCCTTAAACCTATAAAGTAGTGCACGTGAGTATTTGCTTGTCTCTTACTTCTCTCTCTAACCAAGAGTGAAACCAACTTTTGAAAACGTCGAAGTCAAGATGATGCATTCTTTGTGCTAGCTGAATTGCCTTCTTACAAATGATGCTATTCATCATCGGGAATTTGCCGTGCTTTTCACTCATTGCAGTAAACCAAGCCAAGGTTGCCTCATTCACTGTCTTGAACTTCTCGTTGGTTTGCAGGTGGCATCTTTCCTCAGACGCACTAGCGTTCACAAATTATCCAATTCGATGGGATATAACACCGTAATCAGATTTTCTTGAATTTCTAAGTGATTCCGCTACGGGACTCTGAGTTGCACCTGGCTGATTCAGCATTTTCAGCATTTCTGATCGATAGGCGACCGCACATTTCGAAGTCAAGTGAGCCTTTGATTATTGGCATCGGTGTGTTTTCCTCGCAGTGTCCTGTTCGCGTCACACCAGTGAAACGCCACTGGCTGAGTGCGACATTGCAGGTTGGCTAGTCAAGGACCAAGTGAGTAGGCATCAAGAACTGCGATACATTGAGGGGTGCGACATTGCACAGTCAGAAACTACAACTGATCGTAGTTTCTCTAATATTGACGATAGCTCAATAACCAAAGCTGACCACAGTAACTACGATCAGAAATGAGTGTTGTGCTTACGGTGTACTCCAAGCGATGTACTTTTCATCACATGTATCATGGGTCTATTCGAATAAAAATGTGTTCAGTGACAGAAGCCGGAGTTCATGAGGTTAACTTGGGTGAATGGGCTGGCTTTCATCAATTACCTAGCAACCAAAACCAGTTATACTTTAAGTGCAGTTCGCCCATTCCCGGCTCAACCCATAGAAATGAACGATCAGAACGCAGTCTATCTGTTTGGTAAAGGGGTTACTCGTTTTCAGAAAAAGTATTCTAAGAAACACTGACACGATACAGTGTACATTTCTTTCACAAGGTTGCGGTTAGCAAGCAGACTGAGCTTAAATTTAATGACCACTGTAGGGACTCCAATAATAAATTCTTTAATCTCCCGGACGAAGTGTAAGATAAGTCGACGGAAATGCACATCATCATTTTTTACATTGGATTTGTTGATAAGGTCAGTTACAGTCAGTCACGTAGACTAGCTGGTGAATAGTGTGCTGTCCGCATCACTTTAATACCAAAGGAAGAAAAGGGAAAGTCTCGGCCTGATACTCCATGGTGCGTACTGCTCAAGAATTCTGAGCTATATCCGCTGAATTGGGTGCAAAACTATTTCACTGACTGATGCCAATTCACGTGTCCTAATGACATTAGGTCTTCCACTGTGAAATTGTTTTCATACTTCAGAATTCCGATGGCGTAGTGGATGATGATGCATACAACGGAATCATTTTCATCAACCCCTTTGAATCAGCAATAG